CAACAACAGCATGATGACCAAGCATCCTCATCATCATCACCACCATCACCATCATCATCAGCAGCAGCAGCATCGTCATCGTCGTCGTCGTTGTCGTCGTCACCCCCGCTTATCATCCTCACGGCCATCATCCTCCTCCCCCTCGTCACCCTCCTCCCCCTCGTCACCCACCGCCATCCCTCCTCCCCCTCGTCACCCTCCTCCTCCTCACTAGCGCGCCCGCACCGCTCCGGCCCTCCATCCCGAGAGGCCCCGAGCTGGCCTTGCACCTCTGCCCCGCCGCCTGCCCCGCAGGGGCGACGGAGGACAAGTGAAGACCCGCGCCGAGGCCTACAATGATGATGATGACGACGACGATGATGATGATCATCATCATCATCATCATCATCATCATCATCATCATCATCGTCATCATCATCATCATCATCATCATCATCATCATCATCATCATCATCATCATCATCATCATCATCATCATCATCATCATCATCATCATCATCATCATCATCATCATCATCATCGAGCAGCTGCGCCCCCCTCGAGAAGGGCCTCCCGAGGATCCCCGCGCGGGCCCTCGTCGGCCCCAGCACGGGCCCAGCACGGGCGAGGAGAGAGCCCCCCCCCCCCCCGCAACGGCACGTCGTCGGGCGCCCGAGGTGGGCGGTCGAACACACGAGCGACGAACACAGGGGAACGACCGACTTCTCGGATCCGCGCTGGACTTCTCGGAGGTCCGCGCGGACTTCTCGGATCCGCGCTGGGGCCTCCTGGCGGCGCCTCCGGCGCCGCCCCTGGCGCGCTCCGCGCGCCAGGGAGGGGGGTCCAGCGCGGATCCGAGAAGTTTGCCCGGACCTCCAAGCTTCTATTGTTTATGTCCTTTCGCGTTAAAAACAGAAACTGGTCCTGCGCACGATGGCATGGCAACCTTATACTGTGGCTTACGCGGGCCGCCAGCGCGGCACGCCCCAGTGCGGGCGAGAGCGCGCAAGCGCGCGACCTCAGGTGGGCAGCTCGCACGCGAGCGTCCGCGCAGTCGAGGTCGCTCTGCTGCGGCGCTCCAGGGGGGGGGCCCGAGAATGCCCGCGGAGGCCACCGTCGACCACAGCACACTCGGGACAAGTCACGAGAGAGACACCCCGCCGCACATCCTCGGACGCCCGAAATGGGGGAGGGGGAATGGCAGGGACCGTCCACAACGCTGTTGAAAAATAGATGGAAATTGAAGCGAAAAGTACATCGAAGCCCGACGTTCAAAACGAACTTTTAAAACGAGACCGCTGCCGAATCAAACGAACAACGAAGCGAGGCGTTTAAAATAAACACAAACAACTGAACTAAACAACCACGAACAGCAAGACAAAGGCCCAAATCAAGCTAAACATCAGTGTGGTCGACCCTTGGGGAACGATAGGGACAATCTCAGTGGGGAAAGCATCGACCTGGAATCGGCGACACATCGCCGATAGATTGGCGATAGGCCTCCGATTGTGAATCCGCACAATCCTGTGCAAGGTGGGGCCATCAGACCCCTGTCCGCGATCAGTGGGCGATTGGGCGTCGATGCATTTCCCCCTCTGCCTATCCCCCCCCGATTCACGCCGCCGAGAGAACCGCGACAGGCCCCCGACCTAGAATCGGCGAGACGTCGCCGAAAAGAGCTGCGACAGGTCCCCGATTGCGGAGCAGGTCCTAAGGGGGGCGGGGGGCTACCGGGCCCCTGATAGACGATCACTTGGCGATTGGGGGTCGACGCTTTCCCGCCTGAGCCTGGTCCCCCTCTGCACGTCGGCGGGAAGAAGCACAGTGGGGGCGTGTGCCAAGAAACCAATTGGATTTTGCCAGGGTGCCCTGGGTTTCTTGGATTCGATGTGCCCCCGATAAGATCTTGACGATTTTCGATCGACAAATTTGGGTGTTCACTGAACAAATCGCGGATTTCAGGGTTGGGTTTCTTGCGGAGGTTTATTCTGGCCGAGTCCCACTGTAGGTAAAAACATGACATACTAAGGCGGATCAAGTAGATTGGGTCCAGGCCCCCCCAGAGGATGACAATACACAGCAAAAGCACCTTGGTTCTTGAAATAAGAAGGCGCTTGAAATAGATGTCGATCTGGGAATCCACAAATACCCACCTTCAACGAAAGAAGGGCCATGTCGCCCCTGATGTTGGTCTCCGTCCCCATTGTTTCCCGTGCCTATTTCGATCATACCGAGCATCTTGTTCACAGTCTGCACAGCCCAGCGTCAACTTCTCCCAAGCACGGGCTTCGCACGACAATGGGGGGGAATGACACCCCAGCACATAGCCCACTCCCCAGGAGAATCCAAGATAACGCACACGATACCGCCAGATGGGGCCGGCGGAGCGCTCAAGACGTTGGAGCAAGTGCCACCACGGAAAAACTCAGATCATTAGGAAGCGATGGGTAACGACCTCGACACAAATCCGAACGAAGTGACCATGGGACTCAGAAAGGTATACCAATACAATGCGCCCCCC